GCAGGGATGCCTTGTGGGAAATGTAGTTCCATGGCATGTGACCACATCTGTGTTCCCTGATTGGATACTGCCCCCCCCCCCCCCCCCCCCCGGGAAAATTGATTTATGACCAGACGCTCTGTGAAGAGTTTTTGGTGTTAATTGAGAACAATGGGGCAAATGCATGTTTCCTCATCCCCGCTTCATCAGAGGAATGGAAAAGCATAGTTTTTTCACATGGCGCAATGGACAGATCAAGGTCAGATGTATCTTAATATTGAACTACCGTATATGTTTGCTACTTAGAATTCCTGTTAATAAATTGATCTGAGAGACACCAATCCTAAAGCGTGAAGTTTAAAGCTGACTGGCCCCTGGTTGCACGCCGGATCCAGAACAAAGCCAATCAAGTTCTAATGGCAGAAATGTATGGAACAGTAGAAATATATATTGCTAAAAAAGTGAACATTAGTTACCAACAGGAGTTGGAAACAGGTGGCTAGTTTTATTTTGAAAAAAAAACAAACCCAACTATTGAAACCAACCATATTTCCATCAGCTTCTCATAAATTGTATTTCTGTTGCATTATCTTATCACTGTATGCTTGAAGACTGTGTGACAAAATATTTGAAGACTTTTCATATATACATGCTGATTATGGCTTAATTATTTTCTTTAATCTATTTTCTTATTTTACAATAAGCAGCTTTTCAAATTCAATTTGAATTTGTATCCAGAATTTTCAGATAGAAATAGGATCACACAGAATTGAATTGTCTTGGATTTTTTTTCCTGGCTTCTCAAAATTTGAAGGACTATTTGAATATAGAAAAATGTAAATTGTTTTCAAACCTTGAACTGGTTGATAAAAGGTGCTATGTTGAAACCAAGTGTGGGATCTGTCCCTTGAACAGCAGATTCAAGAAATAATAAATTAGATTCTACAAGCATTCCATATATTTTCACATGGTCTGGGAATATCTTTCCTCCAGAGTGAAGCAGACACCTAAATATAAAAATGTGAAGTGAGTCTAAAAAATATTTAAACTTTTCAGTTGTTTAACAATAGCATCAACTTATTTGTTTCTTTTATATTTCTAAACTTTAATTATGATACTGAAACAGAAAACTGGCAAAAGTATACTTTTTAATTTGTAAAAATGTCAGCTTTGTTGTTATATTGAAAACAAATTCTCAGATTTTATTTATTTATAAAATGTATAAGTTGCCTATTACGTCAATGTAACTCTGGGCAGCACATAAAAAACAAAAACTAAACTCTATAAACTAAAAACATAAATAAATTAATATTTAGGTGAAAATATGTAGCATGAGTTAAGCAAAATGCATTGACTGGTCATTAAAACCCCAACTTTTGATTCAGATCTGGCCATGTACCGGTAATTCTGCAACATTGAAAAAAACAATAGCAAAATCATTAGTTTAAAAATTTAAAACTAGACAGAATAGTCATGTCTCAGGTCTCTTTGATTAAACAGCATCATTTAGTGGTGCTTAGGAAGTAACAAATTACTTAGGATTTTGTTTTATACAACAAAATTGTATACGATGTACAATGACAATAAAGGCTATACTATAGTGAAGTTTCCTTTTTTTGTTGCAGCACCTGTCTTTCGGAAAAGCTAGATGTATGGTTCCTATCCCAGTGATACTCTAAAATGGGTGTGAAACTCAGAGCCTGTGGGCCAGATGTGTCACGCACTGGCCACCCTCACTCCCAATTTTGCGAAGGGAAAAAAAGTCATGATATGTCACATGATGCCACGAGTTTGAACCCCTGCTCTAAAAGGTGCTGAAAACCTGACTATTCTACCAGGCCTTGGAAAATGTTGGATGTTAAGCCTCTGCAGGGTTTTTATATGCTATGAATATTTTTACCCCAGACAACTAAGATCTTTGTTCTTTTAATACTATTTCTTGCTTTTAAATTTGTAAGCTGACCAGAGTGTGATGGATTTAGTCTCTAAATTGTAAAATTTAATCAAATATGAACCTACTGATAAGTATACTTTTAATAAATTACAAATTATATTTGTCATGTAACTGAGTGATGCAATAAAATCCAAGAAAATTGTTTCTTACATTACCTAGATATTGCAGCTTTTTCCATCACATCCTGCTGAATTAAACCAGAGGTTTCTATGACATCCAGTATTATAATATTCCATAATTTGTCAGACTTAGGTCTTTGTAGTACCTTGTTTTCATCTTGTAGATGTCTAAGCCAAAACTCTAATGTTTCTCTGGGAAATTGGTTGGCTTCTGAAATCAAACTGAGAGCTACTTGGTGGTGGTCTTTTTCAACTGAGCTGTATGCTTTAACTGCCCCAAATTTACCTGCAATTACTGGCAAAATTGAAAAGCCTTCTGATACATCCAATATATACAGAGGATCAACAGTTACAGAATTTTTGCTCTGGTTCTTTCCAAACTCATGATGGTGACCAACCACATCCATTGAATGTGACTCTTCATGGTGGCTGAATGATGACAACACTTTTCCTATTGCGATTTTAAAGCATTCATGATACTGCATATTATTTAATAAAGCAATTTCAGTGGATTCTAGCATACATTCTTGGCAGACATTTTCCAGTGTGCTTGCTGTCTGAAGACTGGCTAGAGCACTACAGAGTTCAGCTTCGCTATTCTTCTCCTTCAAGTTTCTTTCAACATCCATTTCATATCCTGGAGTCTTAATGGAAATTCTTTGAATCCTTAGATAGCAGTCATGGCAGCAAATTTCCATTGCAACACAATCTCCAGATTTCACAGAATGATCTGTAAATCATAAAGGAATGACAATTGAAATACAAACTAATGCTATTCAAGTGTGTTTTGTAAAGTATTTAATAAAGAGTTTTCTTCCACTTGTTGGCGAATATAATTCATCTGTAAAACGTAATGCAGTTCAATAACACATGACAAGCAGCTTTCAATAAACAGATCTACGCAAATATTTTACGCAATAAACAGATCTACGCAAATATTTTATTTTAGCCATTGCTTGAGTATATTTATATAATATTGAGCCAAAATTAGTTATTTATAAAGAATAGTGTACTTAGTAAATAATCCATCAAACTATCTAATTTGTAGTGATGTTCAAACTCAGACAAGTAATGGAAACAAAAGACCAAGTTGAATCTAGACATCACAAGTTAGTATTAGTGTAAAAATTACTTCAAAATCATATTTTAATGAAGTAGTTTAAAATGATAACAGCAAGGAAAAATGAGAAATGGGATGAGAGGCAATTAAACAGGTACTTAACTTTATAATCTCATTCTTTTTGTGGCATTTGCATTTCAGTCTTTATTCAGGATAACCACCCAATTCCCATAATCCAATTTCAACTTAATTCCGCAAGAAATGGAGCAAGCACAAAGGACTATTATATTTATTAAATAATCCATTATAGAAAGCTCCAGGCATTACTAGAGGTTAGGCCTGTACTAACTGCTTACTGAGCTATAACCAAGATTGCACAGTTTCAAAGAAAGCTGTTTCAAGAAATGGGTCCTTAAAGTGCTTCAATTAATTTGTATACACATGCTATTCAAAATTAACAATATATTCCTAAACACATTTTCTTGAGTTTAGATTAAGTATGTTTACTATCAGATTTCTGTGGCTTCTATCTGAGTGATATTTCGGAAAACCTTGAAGGCCTGATTGTTTGCCCAGGTCTTTAACTAGATGGGTGTGCAGTTTGTTGCTTTCCGGGTTTTGTCATGCTTGTATTTTGAGTTCACTATTTTATTGCTTTTATTGTTTTATAGTCTCATGCTTAATGTGAACCATCCAAAGTTGTTGGCAACCAGCCAGTGTAAATAGGAATAAAACAATTATAACTTTTTTTGCTGACTAAAAACCAAAAACCTAAGTTATGAATAACTCTAATCATGAATGAAAAGAGATTATAAAGTTCCAGCTACATACAAGATTGAGTTAGAAGTAAAGAACATTGAGAAAAGGGAAATCTATTTCTCAGTCATTCCAAATTCTTTATCACTATCTTGAGTCCTAACGAAATATTTCGTTATGATTGCTCTTACTAAACCTATTCTAAATCTACAATCTTAACTTCATAATTCGATCACGAAATGACACTAATCTATTTCTGTAAAAGCAATGAAATCTTAATATGTAGCGTGATTAAGGAAAAATGACAATAAAATTTAGCTTAATCCAAGTCACAAGAAGATGCAACTCAAAACAGAAGGACAAATAGACTGTTATATAGGGTAGAAAATAAGCCTTAAGTGCAAGAAACTTAAGGCTCTATAATTAGGGATACTTATGATCAGTTCTGAAATTCTTTTAGTTATAGTTTCCTACCATAATTTAGGTAATAATAAATATTACTTATTATTACCTAAATAATAATTATCTAATTATTAATAATAAATAAACCTGCATAATGCAGGTAATTTTCTACAATATGTATTCTTATTTTATAGATCCCCAGGTATGTTTTAGTTTTACCTGAATAGGTGAAATTTGACAAGTTCACTATTTTCTACGGTGGAGTTGTTTATTACTTTTTTTCTTTTTCTTTAAAGAATAAAATTGTAGATTATAGGTTAAGTTCGGTTAAATCAGGTCCACTATGTGGAGTGTGTCTGGAAAGAGAAGAGAACTGAAGGTATCAGCTATATGTGCAAGGCACCTCAACAATTGACCTGATTAAGAATGGTAGGCTGAAGCTAGGTTACTGATCACCTCACTCTCGGGGAGAGGATTTATTCTTTTATACAGAAAGCATCATCTTCTCTTGGAGGTTTTAATCCTTTGAAGTTAGATAACATCTTCAAAACAAAATAAAAGAATAACAGTCAAAGGTAAAGTCTAAATTATTTAAATTACCAGAAGGCAATGATAAGTTAAATAATTATCCTTATATTCCAGTGTTTTGGTTCCTTTGGTTGGGGAAAAAGTCAAAAGAAAAACATTTTCTTTCATTGGAGAATAAACCCTGTTGGAGTCTCTTTTCTTTTTTTACTATTTCAAGTATCAGAATATCTAAAATTTGGCATGCTCTCCATAATCTGTGAAGCATGATGACTTTTCATTGTTCTCCTTCAAATATATGTCTATGTGATAACATAGATATACATGTGTGCAACTATGTAACATAAAGTCACAGATCTACACCAAAGTCCCAAAGTTTGTGCAGCATTTATTTGACTGATTTGATGTCTGGATGCTGACAATACACCAAAACAATTTTTAAAAATGGCAAAAGTCAAACAAGTAACAGAATCAGATTCAAACAAAAAAGAGAAAGCAGAGCAAAATGGTGAACCTGGCAACACCCTAAACAAACACCAATAATTGACCTCCAACAAATGGGGTACCAGCCACCCTGGGAAAACATGGCTCTTTAAAATGCTAACAGAGTAGGTGCTATATAGATCTTATTAAGTTCATGTAATCAAATGACATTGTATCTACGTATAATTTATATGATTAATTTCATTTTTGTCCATTTTAACCCCACCCCCCCCAAAAGAGAAAATTCACTCTTGGTTTTAAATAGAATGAAAGACATACCAAGGAGACCTTGTACAGGATAGACTGCTTGCTCCCAACACGTGTCCACATTTGGACTTGTAGAAAGAGTAAGTTCATCATCAAGGTGCAGTGTAAACCAGACTACAACAGCATCTAGTATTCCATCTTTAATAATGGGTATATTTATCTTAGATGGTTTACTGGTGGACAAATTTTTTAGCTCCTGGTCAAGTATAAAATGAAAACATGACGGTAAATTACAGTTCACTGTTAATCACTTTCTATCCCAGAACATATTTTATTAAATATTTGCTTTTCAGAACTTCACAAATATAGAATGTATTACAAAAAAGTAAATAGTAATAGGTCAAGTACAATATGTAATGAATTTTTTAAAAAAGAAATGTAAACAATTCTTACTCACATTCTTAATATTGTAGTAGATACATTGCCATATAAAATATGATCCAGTTTTTTCCAAGGAGTATAGAGCTATACCTAGAGCGCAACTATATAGTAGTCTCTAACCAACCTTGGTTGATTTGGGAAAGTTCTGCAAGGTTGAAATTACTTATAACCACTAAGAAAAACCAAAGCTGTAGGCTAAATTGTAAGTCAAAGGAATATTCCCTAAGAAGATAGCAGCCTAATATTTCTGTGTTGTTCCTCAAAAAACAAGAGATGTGTTTATGGAGACATTAGAAAAATGTTACTTTATTTCTCTGAAGAACATCATAACCAGCTGAATGTCTACTAATAAAACAAATATACTGATTATAAAATCCAGCTGAATGTGTACAAACAAAATAAATATATTGATCTGAGAAACCTGCATAACCTAAGAATTGTGCTACTAGATTAAAGATGTTTCAACTGGTGAAGAAAGCTACAACAACTCAGTGACAATGATACTGACTGACTATATTATTGACTGACTATGTTGACTATACAATAATACCTGGGTTCCCAAATATAATTTGCATATGCCATTATTTGACTGTCTTCAACCAGGGTGGGGGGAAAACACACCTAATTGCAATAAGATTTATGCTGTACTTCTAGATGTTGAAATATTTCTCATAAAATCTACTTATCTACCTAAGCTGAAGTGTTCTGCTTTACTCCAATTATTAATCTTAGATGTCAGGTTATGAGTAGGTGGATCTACTGATGCAAACCATTATGATTCCCATTTAAACATATAGTAGAGTTACATATTATGATGTTGCCTCTATGACTAAGAATAAGAACCTTGCTTATGATAGAGAAAACATTCATCCTCTTTTAAGGCTGATATTGGCTCATACTACATGCAATGATTATAGTTACTTTACATATTTTTTCCCTTCAAAGAAATAAATGACTTGGTACAATTGTTTGAGCTTTCAAATTATTATTATTTTTTAATAGACAATGACCTGTACAAATCTTCCATTACTTTATATTTTAGGTGTTTCCACCTCCCTGTTTCTCTATGCCGAAGTTATATTGTTGATTAAGCTTAAATTTTTTATTCCACAATTTTACTTTGATTAAATTTTGCTTTAAATATAAGAAGTGATTTAAGTATCTCTTTTATTTTAGCAATGTTAGCGTCATTAATACAATTAATATCAAGAGGTAACAGTAGTTGCATGCCCAGAAAATGCTATTGTGATAGCTCACAAATAGATTCTACAAGATTAGGACAGAATTGGGTAAAGATCAGTAAAATTTTACTTATTAAGTCATTCATCTAAAACATGCATACAATGCTACTAATAATCCAAATATGACATTCGGATAAATGTTAAAATATTGTATGGAATAAATTTATCATCCTAATGAAATTCATTTTTCAATTCTATAATAAAAAAAACCTAGTAATTATTAGTATTTTCTTGTGCCAGTAAATTACCTGCAAATTATTAAAATTGACTGTCAGAACTTGAAAAATGTCTGTTAGAGCTGTATAACCACCAGGTATTCTGCTGAGTTTTTCAGTAGTGTAAGGTTCAAGGGTTTCACTGGACTTTAGAGGAGCAGAAGTTGGACTGCAAAATTTCAGTGTTTCTGGCAAACAGACACCAGCAATTTCTTTTACCTCCACTCTGAAAAAAGGAAATGATAAAAATATAGTTGACAAGACAAATTGAAGCATACTTTCTTTTCATTATAAATAATTTATTCTTCAATTAGATATAGTGTTTTGCATGTTAAAAAGTCTCATTTGGAAGTTTTGATAGCTGAAGAGCTGGAGGTTAATACAACTGTTTGGACTTTCAGGTAAGATCATGTTTACAGTAAGGATGAAATATCTTTTTCCCTCAAGTCTGTTGTTAGAAATCTGATTTAGGTTATCTTTACTTAAATATAGCTGGTGGGAGTAGATTCCAGAAATTGGGAGAAAAATGAAGATATCCTTTCTGTTTTATTCATAGTAAATCTCTCTGACTAGGATAGGTTAGGATTTCAATCTCATGTGCAAATCTAATCATGATTTGTAGGAATATACAGTACTCGACTGGACTTTAACAGACCATTTTCCTTAGCCTTCCATTTTCCACTCATTGTCTTCAAGTAGCATAATTTGTAACTTGTACCCCTTAATATATTGTAAACCAATGACATTATTTAAAAGTAAAGCATTTTCTGTTTTTTTTGTCTAAAGAGTAAAGATTTTTTCCCCAACAGAAAAAATATATACCTATGATGTCTGCGTATCTCTTTGCATTCCACTGCCATGCCCCACATAGTAGCGCCTGCTGGAATAACTTTACCATAGTTTTTAGAATTATCTTTACCATTCTTGGGCTGTAAAATAGATTAAAAATGGTGTAACAAGATTTATTTACTGATCATATATTAAGAAACAATACTCATATTTTAGCTTATAGAGCGCAAAAATGTCCAAAAGCAACTTTTCAGATTAACAAAAATTTTGTACAGGCATAAGACTTCATGAACTTTATAATATAAAAATAATGTATCTTTTTTATCACGTCTTAGATTGTTAAGATACTAAGATACTAACCTCTGGTGGTAAAAGTAAGTGTTCCCAAGCATGAATCAAACTTTCTACAATTCCCTCACCAAATAATCCAGAATCTACTGTTTCGGTGATAACAAGGGAAACTCTATTAAAGATAAAAATATAGTTATAACAAGAAGTCTTAAACAGTTCAAAACTTAAATTCAATTATTCAAAATTAACAGTCCTTTCTTAGACAACTGAGTTGGGATCATCTCGCAAGTGAGCGTCTTCAATAAAATATGTCCCTTTACTTCTTATGTACTTGCTCTCAATATTTTAATATAAAGTACCAAAACAGCAGTAGATGTTTGAAATTGGAGGCAAGATGAAAACACTGTAATTGGAACCTTTTTTACTTTAATTTTACATAATATAATTTTATTTAAATTGTTCTTTAGCTACTAAATTCAAAATAAATTATTGTGAATTCAGTATACCAGCTACTGAGTAAATATACTTCAGCTGCAGAATACAATGCTATTGTCAGGTTTCCTAAAAATGCTGTAATTGATTCATGAGTATCGAGTCAAGTTTCAATACAAAACTAGTCATTTATTAGGAGCATTATAGGCAAGATCTTTTCGCAGTCAGATCTAAGCTTTGTTTGAGTTATAGCTGACATTTACCCCTGTTCCTTCCACCCCTCAGTCTGTGTCATAAATCATATTCCCCAATGAGGTGCATCCCTCCCAAGCCTACTGCAGTAATCTGAGATCCGACTTCAGCTGACAGTATTCTTGGAATGCGCTTCCCCCTTCTCTTACTATGGCAACTTTAGGTGTTGACAGCTATTTCATTATTTACATTAAAATCAGTAAAATATTGAAACTTAAAAAAATCAATTTCAATAGAAGATAACACTTCATACAATATTTGCTCTTGCTATTTTGGAAAATATGAATAATATTATTCATAATGTTAGCAATGAATACAATATTACTTTAATTGAAAATAACAGAACAAAATATAAGATACAACCTTTCAGGTATGTGCTTTGGAATTTCTATATCAAAGGATTTCATGTGAAGAAGTTTGATTTCTCCATCCAAATTGTTTGCAGCTAGCACTTCACAAGCCAATTCATACATGGTCTTTGACAATTCACAAGCATAGACAGGAGATGCTCCAGACTTTTTAGCTAGCATACTGAAAAATTAGAAGATATTCCATAGATTTTTAATTAATTTTTTCATTAAACAAAATACTACTAATAATTTAACTTTCATGCAATTTCTGTATAAAATATTTGATACTTATTTTTAAAAGACCTGGGGTGAGCATAAAATTCAAGTAATAAGAAATAATGTCATTAATTTCTTAAAACTTTTTTAAAACAAGAAAAAAGGTAGTTGTATCAAACACCATTTTAAACCAAAATAAAACCAGGATGATGATGAGTCTTGTTTAGTTGTAGCCTCTCCTACTTTATTTGCTATGGAGATAGACTCTGAAACTTTGTAACAGATGGGAAGGCCAGGATAGCTAAAAAAAAACTGTAAAAAAACAATGTATTCAATCCTGCCACAAAGGATGTGAGACTATAATAATTGAAGCCTCTTAGCATTTGTTTGGAAGTATTCTAATAATATGCCAAGTGAGTGCCATTTGGAATTTTTTTTTTGTATTGAACTTGAATCATTGAAATAAACATGACAATATCTGTATCATAATTTTCAACAAACCTGAGAATTCCCGTTCCTGTTCCAATATCAAGCACACTTCTATAACCTGAATGAACTGCTTTCTGAATTGCTTTTTGATACAGAAAGTTTCTACTGTAATCATTAAGCATAATGAAATGCCACCGTTCTACCACCCAGTTGGCAACCCGATAAAAGTTCTCCTTTGCATCAGGAAAGTCAGGGTTTAACTTCACAGCTTTATGAAAATATGCAGCTGCTTCATCTCTGAAGCCCAGCCTAACAGGAAAAAAAAATACACAATCAATAAAAGCATAAATGTTAAATTTTTGGAACAACACAACACTGAGAAAAATCTATATTTGTAGTGTGAAGACATATAGCAGTTTAAATTATAGAAAAGTACAGATGATAATTATGGTTTACTGTTGGAAATAAACAAGTGACACATGTACTGTGTAAATAAATCTACAAGTGTTTACAGATAAGTAAACACTTACTTAATGACTGCCCTGTTTAGTAATTGCTTGACATTATAACAGTGTTGGAAAAGTAAATGTATTACTAGTCCTTGCACTTATGACCATCACGGTGTCACATGATCCAACATTTAAGTGTTTTGTAACCAGAAGACGCTTATGAGTACTGCAGCATCTTGCGGTCCCATGATTGCAATTTGTGCTTTACAGCCAGCTTCCGACAAGGAAAGGCAATGGAGAAAGAAGCAATAAAATCCAAGTTGTAATCACATGATATTTTGCTTAATGAACATGGTGACTCACTTAATGACCACAGAAGTGAGATTGAAACTCTATCACAGTGATGTGATGACTTATTTAATTACCATGTTGCTTGGTAACCAGTTGCCAGTCCCAGCTATGCTTAAGCAAGAACCACCTATATGATAAATTATCTCAATAATACTGAGTCCAAATATAGGGTTTGCCTTGTGAAATCTTGAGTTGATAACAAACTACTGAGATACAGAGTTATTCATGTTCATTATGGAAATTAGCCTGGGATAAACAGAAGATCTCTATACAAAAAATAGTCATAAGGATGAATCTTAAAATTAAACATAAAATACAATGGACACCAAGAAGCAGTCTAGAAATTATATTTAATGATACCTTTGCATTAAGATCGTGATGGCAAACCTATGGCACGCATGCTGGCGCGCACACTGTTGCCCCAGGTCAGATGGCCGTGGCGTTTATTTCGTGAGCTTCTGTTTCACTATAAACAACGAAACAGAAGCTCACAAAAGAAAAAGATCTTACCTCTTGCTGCACTGCCGGTGTTAGGATGCCCCACCAGCAAGCTGGTTTTTGGATCTCTGCTGCGCATTCATGTCCAAGTGCATGGCCACATTCATGCACACACACCTTTCAGTTAGGGCATTTATGTGTGCACAATTTGGGCACTCGGTATCTAAAAGGTCCGCCATCACTGTATTAAGAGTTTACTTTAATGAGTCTGAGCTAACAGACAAGAGAGAACTGCCAGACTCATATGATTGCAAAGTAAATACTTATACATATAGAATTAAGAACACATATTCAGTTAAAACCTTTGTAATATATTTACACTGAAGTTCCTTGACTTAGAAACTTTATGTGCATTAGAATATTTAGTCAAATTATGGCTAATTAAGTATAATTTCACACCTGAAAAGATGTTCCCCCATACTGTTGTATATGACTTCATCATTAGGATATAATTCCAGGGCATGCTCATAGCAATCAAATAAATCTTGAATTCGTGCAAGAGAATCCAGTTCTTCTGCCCATTTAAAAAGGGTAAATTGAAATGTTTCCTAAAAAAATGAAAAAAATGTTCATAAATTTAGGGATTTTTATGCAATATATCCAGTAAGTAAATGTACATCTGTGGGTTGTGCGCCAGTTGCACACATTCCTGGACGGATCACATCCACCCAACCCACTAGAGCAGGGAGGCAAAGTGTTGCATGTCCCGTCTCCTGAGGACATATATCTGGCGAAGCCCAGAAAAAAGGCCTTCTCTGTGGTTGCTCCCTCCCCTTTGGAATAACTCTTCAGAAATTAGATTTGCTCCCACTTGAGAGCCATTTTATAAGGCCCAGAAGCCTTGTTGTTGCCAGCGAGTCTGGGAAACCCAGAATGAGACGGAGCCCATCAAATGGAGATTTGAGCATGTGTTGTCACTGTGGGTGGGTGGATATTATTGGGGTTTTTTTTCTATACTTTTTATTGTTTATAAGCAGCTATATAGGTGGCTACCTAAATTTTCAAATAAATAAATAAATAAATAATAAATAAATAACACCCAATGACCAGTGTAGTATACATGCAGCTCACATATTTATATAGGTTAGGGGAAATATAAGCAGAAAATCTCTCACCTTAACATCATTTTTAAATTCAGGAGCTATGTTTAACACCAAGAGATAGTGAGCATATGCAGTTCCAAAGTCCTGATTCTCCAAACAATGTTGAGCACTTTGCAAGGATCTGGAGACTAATTCACGCCGGCCACTTTCTTGACTAACTTTGTGTCTATGCCGAGATTTGATTTTAGTGTTAGGCATTTTTAATTAAAAGCAGCTCCACTTTATCCTGCAAAGATAAAATTAGCCTTTATTCTATGATTATGACCAAATTCTATTATTTTACTATCATTTTAAAAATCAAAGTTATTTTGTCCCCACTGCAATTATTCATAAAAAAAGGATCCATAGATTAATTTGTACTATTTTGAACAGTATTGCCATTCTGTTCCTAACAATAGGAATGGAGAGGACTCAAAATATAGCATAATTCCTGTTTCTGTAAATGCAAGAATGCAAGACAGTGATTGTCTTTAGAACATCATTTATGTAAGAAAGATACCTATTAACTTATTTAGCTTGGCTAGCAGTATTGAATGAAAATAATCCAACAGTTGATTTGTAGTTCAGATAGTCCTTTGTTTATGATGGCAACTGGGATTGGGATTGCTGTTGCTAAGTGATGAACTCATAAAGTGCAATATCATATGGCAGATTCATTTTGTGATGACAATGATGGTTCCCACTATAATCCCAAAATGCATAGGTTGCGGAAAACATCTCCAGGTAAGGACTGTGGAGGTGCCTAGGGGATGGCAGTGGACCTTGGAAGCCCTGTGCTGGCTGTGCGCGAGTGAAAGAAGTTAGAAGAAGATGCGGTGCCATGTGAGCCAAGATAGTCTGAGAAGGGAGTCTTGCCCCCCCCCCCTTCAGTTTTCATTTGCTTACTGGCTTTGACTTTACTTATGTAAAGCAAGGGCAGAATGTTGCAAATAGTAATCATGTAGCTTCGGGGCACAGCAACTGTCACAATTGCAAGTTGGTAACCAAGTGCCTGAATCATGTCACCATGAGCATTGTGTAATGGCCACAACTTTGAGGACCAGTTATAAGTATCACTCATTTAGGCTACGGCAACTATCACTGAATGAATGCTTGTAAGTGAGGATTACCTGTAATAAAATTTTCATGTAGCTTGAATTTGAATTCATATTCAATATACTTTCATTGTGAGCTTTTCCATCAAATCTAATCAATCTTTATTCTGTCATAAACCAGCAAATAAAACACAAGAGTCAGAATTAAGGTAAAAGGAAAAATAAATATCTAAAATGTTAAGTGTTAATACTTTGGGGTACATTGCAGATTATAAAACAGTACTTGGTCAGGGAAATAATATCAGATCCAAAAATAACATTGAGATAAAAGAAATCTGAATGACCAGGATATTTAGTAGGGAATGCAAATAATTCGGGATCAGCACTTGCAGAGAAAGGGCAATACAAAATAACATGTTCCATCAGCTCAATTATTCCTCTACAACATGGACACTGTCTCTGATGAAAGGGGATTTTTTCTTGGTATCTTCCTTCAGTAACAGCTGTTGGGAGTGCACTGAATTTGGCTAAGAATAACATTGATATATCTATCTGGTTAGAGAAGTTATGCAGAGTATCCAGGGGTGGGTTGCTGCTGGCATTACTGCTGGTTTGGCGTGCAAAATATTTTATGCACACTCTTCGCTTGTGCGTCAAATGCATGCTCTGCATGCATGTGCATTTGCACCTAAAAAGGTCTGCGCATGCACACAACGTTAGAAAAGGGGGGGAAATTGCAATGAAGATTGTTCTGCACATGTGCAGAACCGAAAATCAAGATGGTGCCATCAATAGAACCAATTCAGGGATATGGCAGGCCAAGTTACTACCTTCTCGGCTGAACTGGTCCGAACCGGTAGGAACCCACCTCTGAGAGTATCTGAAATGTGGATATTTCTGGAAAATTTGCTTGCAGCTTTAAATCAATGGCCCAGCTTTTGTGCTTAAAATGTTAAGCAAATTAGCCCTAAACTCTACTATTATTAGCTGCATCAAATTACGTGGCCATCATGTTGGCAAAATATATTAAATGAATAGATTAGAAATCACTAAAATCTGTTCAAGGAATTTCAGGAATCTTTGAAAAATACCCAAGCCCGGCCAAAGAAATAAATTGATTAGATTATGTGATTAGGGTAAACCCAGTGTCTTCTTTTCGGATCGATTAAGTGATCACCTTTTATGACCCAGCAAGCAAAGTCAATGGGAAAGCCAGATTCACTTAACAACTGTGCTACTAACGTAATAACTGCAGTGATTCACTTAACAATTCAGGCAAGAAAAGTCATAGTAAAACTCACTTAATAGACTTAAAATACCTTTGTCATTTTAAATGTACATTAATCAGCATAACCAATTTCATTGTATTTAAGTACAATGACAATAAAGATTATACTTACTTATACTTATATTCATACATTAAAATGCAATTTTGTTGCATACAACTCTTGAAGGGTCACCGCCTCCAATATCTGTCTCACTTAACATAAATTTTTGGCTCAATGACTGAGGTCCAGCCCCGAGTAGAATGGGTGTATGTTGTGGCTTTTTAAATCTATGTTTCTGTGTTTTTAACTTTTTTATTTTTTAAATGTATTTGTTGTAAGCCGCCCAGAGTCCTTCGGGATTGGGCGGCCTATAAATTCATTAAATCTAATCTAATCTAATCT